CTTTCCCTACCGTTGCCGGTAAAATAGTATCTCTGCATCTCACTTTCCTTGGCCCCTCCATTCTCTGCATCCATTTTCAACGGACACTACCCTAAACATTACGTTTAGTCATTTTCTAATTAATTTTCAAGCCTTTATATGGAAGAAAATTTTGTTTTCCATTTTTAAACCAGACACCCATTTTGGAAAACGCGTTCAATTTTTTTTAAAATATTGTTAATAATTTATTTGTCGATAATTGCATCCTTGTTTTGTGAGATGATGACAATTGAATTTCAAGCATATAGTTTCGCACCATTGATGTATTATTGGATCAAAATATTCATTCGAGGTAATGTACCAAAAGAAAAGTTTGAGGTGGCCCAAAATGTTAGGTCCGCACTCTAAGTCTAATGTGGATTATTTTTCCGCTACACTACTATTTAGGTCATAATTCTATAAACAGAGATAGTGGATTTATTGAGACTTAATACATGAGTAAGAAGAATTTTTAATAAAATGACAATACTTAGGATGAAGCATACGATACTAATAAGAGCTATGAAAAATGTAGAGTATGGTTAAAGTGGACCATTATTACTAGTGATTTATGGTGATTCAATAAAAATTATCCGTTAGATTTTATAATTAACATATTCAATGATTTAGATGAGAAACTAATAATATTTTTTTAATCCTACTATTCTTCTTTGATGTATTATTTTATAAGACTTAATTATTTAATTTAGCTCTGTCTTCATTATTTTTTAAATTACCTTTAACATAAATGAGCCATCAACTACTTGAATTATGAGAGAAGTTTAGAAGGAGTAATTTGTAGTATTTTTTTTAAATACAAATATCTTTTCAAGTATAATTGTATTTCACAATTTTACCTTAAATTTTAAAAAATAATGACTTAGGGTTTGATGAAAGCTCCATGTTTGCATTCATTATGAGATTGACAATGTTGTCAACCCTAACATTGTCATTGGGTAGCGCAAGGTGTCTTGACCCCCATTCGCTTGTGTATTTGACAATGGAGATACAATCTCTCCTCAAAGAACTGATGTGCATTTAGACTCTAGGGTTATATGTGCATTTAGACTCTTGTGTTCGGGTGCATCATGCTCTCCTAGGACTCATAGTAAAGAAGTTTTGTGTTCTAAAAGAACACGTTCATTGTTAGGATAATGTAGATCTTGTTGTGGTGGTCCATTGGAGAGAGCTTTCTTTGCACAACTGTCATCACCAAGCCCAAGAAGAAGAAGAAAATGACCTATCATACTCCTTCACTGAGTTCTTCACAAAGTGTGACACAACCTTCACCAACCAAGATCCTACCGTCCTCTACACCTTGATCTACACCAGCATAATGCTTAAGAGCTCAACCACAACCACCTTATCAACCACTTTCAACTCTATGATGCTTGTCCTTATAGGGTCTTTATGAAAAACATTTACTATTCATTTAATTTGACTAAGGATACAGTAGTAATTATCTACTTCAAAAAACTAAACTAACTTGAAAAAAAAAACTATTATAATTAGTAATTATAATATGTCCACCCTATACCATATGTAAAACTAGACCACCTAAAACTCATTGCATTGGAAGTGTTGGATGATAAGGGCAGTCATTAGGGATGACAATGGAGTGTGACAAAGGTGAGTAGTAACCCCTTGTCATTCGTTATGTTAATGTGACTTGTGACACCTGTTTACCCCCAAATTCACTTTTAAGTAATTTTGATAAAAAAAACATAAAAGAAAACAAATCAAAGATGGTTGTTTAAGTTAAAAGGTTCACAATGTCATCGAATTATAAAATCCTCAAATAAAATAATAATAATAATTAATCTTCTTGAAATAGTCAAAGCAAGGTACAATTACCCAGTTACATAAATTTCCAATAAACAAACACTACAAATTAATAGACTCTATTAACTTAAAGGAAATATAACTCTCAAGCTTTGTTGTCATATTATTAGAGAAAAATTCTAAAACTAGTGAAGTGTTAAGCTTTGCCTCAATCAAACTTATCCTTTTGTATCTGATCTATGCCTACAAATGGTGATCACCCAACATAAGCACAACAACACATCATATCTTGCATCATCATAATTTCTTATACATTAATACCATACATACTCATTATTTTTACACATAGGAATTTGTTGTTCACTTAACCTTTTACACTCGTAGCCCTCTTTAGTTCTCTCTTTTACATGTTTATATCATATTGCTTAACTCATTAATTTTATTCCTTTAATTCTAATACTTAATCACTCCTCATGGGTCCTCTTTTATTAATTCATTTTTATCTCAATTTACTACGAAATAGGCGTGGTGTTCAACGAGGTCAGGCTCGTGCCTAGTGTGAAAAGATCAAGGATCTCTCTACTAGAAGCGCACATGACGTGGTATTATCCATGCCCGACTTGGTATTACCCATGCTCAACATGAAGATGTCTGGGACCTCTTTGTCTGATTAGTGCCCAATATGGATGCTTCCACGCTTGACGTTGAGGAGTTGAGGGCCTTTTTGGAACCAACTCACCCAACGTGATTTGGGTCACGCCCAACGTCCCATCATCTAAAAAATCAATGTCAAGTGAGACATCTTTTGCTCGAAGTAGGAAATTTAGAGACATCTCTAGCATCCTCGTACTTGGTGTGACCCCCTTCACACTCAGTGCGAAGAATTGCATCATTCGCTCCCTACATCATGAAGGCACGCTTAACATTGTCGTAGATTTTGCACTTCATAGAATCATAAACTACATGATTTACGTTCTTCCCAAACCCACCCACACACATCCATTTGTCTCTTTCTACAATCTAATCGGTCAAACATTTAATAGATACTTATATAACACATCCAGTAGATCATGAAAATTCATCCAACCAAGTTAAAAACTCCAAATTCATACGTACAACAACCCTAACCATCAAAACACATTAATTCATCGCTATATCAATTTAATCAGAATTCAATACACATATTTGTAGAAACATAACAACAATTGATTAATAATTGTTCTCATACACATTTATACAAATTTAATGCAACAACCTAAGAGACTTAGAGATTGTCTCTCTACCTTTATTCGTCATATACACTCATAGAGGCAACTATCTCACTTTCTTTTATCTTGAGTGATGATTTTGTAGCACTATACGCTCCCTATAGCCTCATCTACTACTACACCATACTCTCTTCGGTGAACTCTTCTAGGTTTTTCTTTGTAAGTGCTCTTAAGGTTTCAAAAGATGTACAAGGAAAACTTAATCCCTTATTTTTATTTTTAATCAACTTTTTGATTGGACTTATAGTCCAACCAAATACTCTTCACTTATAGTTCCTCTTTATTTTATTTAATTTAAATAAACATTTATTTATATTGAAAACTTAATTAATTAATTAATCAAGTTCATAATTATTTATTTATTTTATTTTAGAAATATGGGATGTTGCATGAGTATTCATAATTTTTTTTTATAATTTGTATATATTTATGGATATTCATGGATATTTGTCAAAATTTAAAAATTTAAATGAAAAGGTGAGAAATAATATAAGGTTAAGAGAAGTAATGACATATTATGAAATAATATAAATTAATAAACGAGAAAGATATAGAGGGAATGAGAGTTAAGTGAAGTAAAAGAAATAAATAAAAATGATATAAAAGTGAAAAATAGATGTTTCTAATGTCATACTCGCATAAGTGGTATTTATACATGTGGTTGGAAGATTCCTAATAAAAGAAAATTTCTAACTTTATAATTATTTATAATATTCTCTTATACTATGTTTGGGAGATATAATTTAAGAAGGATTTGAGGGAATAGGATGGATTAAAGGGGAATTAATAAAAGCACTCATGTTTAGTGGAGGTGAATTAAAAGGGATTTGAAATGAATAAATGATGGACCTACAATATTAGAATCACCCTCTTGCATGAGGGGATTCTCGTGTAATTGGACACGAGCCATCGATAATTATACATATGATGTCATTGGTATTAGATTATGTTGTAAGTCATATTACATCATGCCCATATAACACTATATAAAAATGAGTGATATTCGATTGTGTTGAAATGATATTGAATTATGGTGAAGTCATATTGGATTATGCTTACTTCTTGCCTCTTTATATGTGTGTGTATAGTTGAGAGGTAGCAAAATTGATTATGCAAAATAACATAATTGATTATACTACTACATTATATAAAAAATAATAATGCAATTTCAATATAAGAAAGAAGTAAAATGGTAATTTATATATTATTTATTTTTACATAAAAATCTAACTATATAAATACCAATTTCTCTCTATTTCTCATCTAATTTCACTCTATTAAATAACTATAAATTTCACTCTATTACACTATATTTCTTACCTATTTTCTATCAAACTAATTCTCATATATTTCCTCACATTCCCTTCAATTCCTCCCCCTCCCACCGACAAAAGTGTTTGGTTGTAGGGAAGTGAAGGAGAGAGAGGAAATGAGGGAGATTTTTTATTAAAACTTTTGTTATTTGGTTCAATTTTTAGGAATTTCTCTTACATAGTGTTAGGTTCATTTAAAAATAAGTTCAATTTTTTAAACTTTTAAACCCCTTCCTCAAACCCAAACATGACTTTTAACTTCTTTTCCTTTCATCTTCTCCATTGAATCCCCCTCCTCCTCCTTATTAAAAAGAAACAAATCATATCCTTATTAGAAATAATTAAATTTAACAAATGATACACATTCACATAATAATAATATCTATAATAAACAACATTTTCTTCTAAAAGAAACTAACAAAATGAACTTTCATCAACATATTTCTTTTAAAAAATAAAATAATGTATTAAAAATTATAGAGATAAATAAATAAATAATAAATTTCTTCTACGATACATAACACTTCCTCTTACACATTTTTTTTTTTGGAATTAAAGAAAGATAGTGAAAAGAAAAAGAAAAGAAAGAAAATACAATTTTTTTAAAAACTTTCTTTCATTTGATGGATAAGAAAATAAAAGGAAAAAATAAAACAATATTTGGACCCACAATAAATTTCTTTCTTTTCAATTTGGAAATAAAATAATAATGAAGATAAAAAAACAAATGCAATTTTATCCTTATGACTATAATAAATTAAAGCTAAATTATAATTTTATAAAAAAGCAATATTATTTTTTAAAATAATAAAATAAATACTTTCAAAATTTATTAACATTTTAAATTTATATTTAATTTTTTTTTATTTAAACAACTATTTTTTTTTAATATTTTATTATATAATATAGATATTCATTATAAATGATGAAACTAGGTTGAAGACGATTGGTGAAAATGTGAAATCCTCGACTAGTTTCAATGTGCTTCCAATATTCTTTCATGATTCCAAAAGCTTCAAAACAAAACACAAATGATGGAGAGGAATAGAGATGAGGTGTGCCACATCCAAAGGAAGATGATCAAGAGTGTTGAACTTAACACAAGGAGAAAATACTTGATAAAAGTTTTTAAAGAGAAGTGTCTCCAAAAGAGAGAACTAAGACTTTAGGAAAAAAACTCAAAGGTTTATTTCTCACAAGTGCAAAAGTGAGAAATTACATAGAGAAGGAAGAAATATATAGATTTTGGTAGCTTATGGTACAAGTTAGACTAGCCAGTTACATGTAACTTAGGTTAGGTTAACTTGTTCTCAAAACTACTAATTCCAATTACAATTTCAAATTTGAAAAATGTCACTATCCTAGATCTAGAAAAGTCAATACAAACATTTCACATGGCAAGGAAAGATAAGTGTGACTTATGTCAACATTCTAGATCTAGAAAAAGTCAATAGAAATTTGCCACATGACAAAGTGCCAAAAGTGTGACTAGGTGTGACACATGTGATTCGTTAGAGTTTGAATTGGCCATGTGAGCACCTTGTCCACTAAGTGGATGTCCACCTACATGGACCACATGTCCATGGTGCTCTCATGGGTCAATTCAAGGCCAATAAGCTCATATCTCATTTTCTAGTTACACTCCCCCTAAAATACTATTTACACATCTAAAAATAAAAAATTATAAGGAAATAAACTCCTACATGTCGCCACCCGCCGAAACGGACGTTGGCATTCGCGACGGACCACATGGTTATCAAGACAGAATCCTTTGAAAATCATGTCCGAGATCTGGAAGAGATTTTCAAGCAAATCCGAAAACATAACATGAGATTAAACCCGGAGAAATGTGTTTTTGGAGTTCATGGAGGCAAATTCTTGGGATTCATGATCACTTGTAGAGGAATTGAAGCAAATCCTGACAAATGTCAGGCGTTGATCAACATGAGAAGTCCCAAAAATCACAAAGAGGTGCAGAGGTTGGCAGGAAGACTTGTTTCGCTATCTCGGTTTATTCCGAAGCTAGCAGAAAAGGCCAAGCCTATCTTCCATTTACTTAAAAAGCCAAAAGAATTCTGCTGGAGTGACCAATGTGAACAAGCTTTCACCAACTTCAAGTAATTCTTGTCAACTCCACCCATCTTATCCAAACTGAATTACCAAGCTGATCTCCTATTATACCTTGTAGTGGCCGACAATGCTCTTAGCGCAGCACTTGTACAAGAGAATGACAAAAAACAAACTCTCATTTACTTCATCAGTCGGGTATTACAAGACACCGAGAGGAGATATCAGACAATAGAGAAGCTAGTCTTGGCATTGGTAGTTTTATCTCGCCAACTTCGCCCTTATTTCCAAAGCCATCAAATTATTGTGAAGTCGGATTACCCCATCAAGCAAATATTCAAAAAACCTGATCTGGCTGGACGGATGATAGCTTGGTCAGTCGAGCTCTCTGAGTATGGTATAAAATATGAAAGCCGAGGACCATTAAAAGCCCAATGTCTGGCTGATTTTGTTGCTGAGCTCACCCCTGTTCCACCTATGGATGAACAAATCTGGACGCTACACGTAGATGGATCTTCTAATGTGAAAGGCAGTGGTGTTGGCATTATTCTTGAAAGGCCAAACGACATGATGCTCGAACTTGCTATAAAATTTGATTTCAAAGCTACTAATAATCAAGCTAAATATGAGGCTCTGTTAGCAGGTTTAACATTGGCCAAAGATGTTAGTGTAAAGAGATTAAGATGTTGCAGTGGTTCCAAGCTGATTACCGAACAAGTAGGAGGTGGATATCAGACTAAAGAACCCCAACTTCAAAGGTACAATCTTATGGTATCCCAACTAACGTCTTTTTTCGATAATTTCCAAATGGAGCACATCCCAAGAGCGCAGAATGCAAGGGCCGACTTATTATCAAAGCTTGCTAGCACTAAGCGCCCTGGCCAACATAAGATCATCATTCAAGAAACAATAGCTGCCCCTAGTTGCCAAGTTACAGCAATTTTTGCCAACAATTCATACCAGCAAGGTTGGATGGCCGACATTTGGAAATATCTTAAAGATGGGACCTTGCCAGATAGTAAAGTAGAAGCTTCCAAAATTAAAAACAAGTCACGCCACTTTACGATTGAAGCGGATGAGTTGTTCAAACGAGGCTTTTCCATGCCTCTCCTCAAATGCTTAGACACAGATCAAGCCAACTATGTAATGAATGAGATCCACCGCGGAATCTGTGGCATGCATTCCAGAGCTCGGTCCATGGCTGCCAGAGTTATCCGAGTTGGATACTACTGGCCGACTATGAGATCGGACTGTAAGTCATATGTTTAGAAATGTAAAGCCTGCCAAGAGTTCGACAATCTACACCAGTTACCTCCAACAACTCTGCATTCCATGCAGTCAACATGGCCCTTTGCCTGGTGGGAGATGGATATTCTTGGTCCTTTTTCCAATAGCCAAAGGTCCACTAAAATTCTTATTGGTTGGCATTGATTACTTCACGAAATGGGTTGAAGCTGAAGCCCTAGCAAAGATCACTGCAACCAATGTTCAAAGATTCACGTGGAAGAGAATTATCTGTAGGTATGGCTTACCTCATGCTATAACCACTGATAATGGAAAGCATGGTCGTTGATAAAAATTTCGAGCAATTTTTGAGGCAACTCGAGATCAATCACAAAGTTACTTCGGTTGAATATCCACAGACAAATGGTCAAGTTGAAGCTGCCAACAAGGTTATCCTTAGAGAACTCAGGAAAAGACTTGGCACATCAAAAGGAGAGTGGGTAGATGAACTACCTGGTGTTTTATGGGCCTATCATTGCACACCACAGACTACCACTCAAGAAACCCCATATAAGTTAACTTATGGGTCTGATGCCATGATACCAGTAGAGATCGGGGAACCAAGTCACCGAAGACTAACTTTTGATACAGCTCAAAATATAGAGACACTGAGAACTGATCTCAATCTCATAGATGAAACCAGAGAGTGCGCCCGAGTTCAAGAAGAGGCATGCAAGCTCAGAGCATCTCGGAGATACAATTCCAAACTAAAGCCGAGATCCTTCCGAGAAGGGGACCTTGTTTGGAGAGCTGTCGGAGAAGCTAGAAAAGACACATCAGCGGGGAAATTCACAGCTAATTGGGAAGGCCCTTTCCGCATCTTAGAATGTCTGCACAATGGTGCATACAGACTGACAGAATTGGGTGGCAAAGTTATCCCAAGAACTTGGAACGCTACTCATTTGAAATTTTATTATAGCTAAGATGTGTAAACCCAGGTATTATACTCTTTTTCCTACTTCAGTCTTTTTTTTCAATAAAAAAAAAGGGTTTTGGTTGAAGAGGTTTTAACGAGGCATACCTGGGGAAGTAGAAGAGATGTAATTGACGTCCAATCTTATAATATACATTCTCTCTTCTCTCAACTTAGTCCTTTCTTTTTCATTCTACTTAACTATTACAGTCTTTGCCCCAGAAATTACATGCAATTATTCCATATTAATAAAATTGTAATCATCCCATATTAATTAAGTTGGCCAAGTCTGAGCCAGTAATCAATAAATTCGGCCAAGTTTGAGCCAATGTTAATAAAATTGGCCAAGTCTGAGCCAATGCCCATGAAATTCGGCCAAGTTTGAACCAATGTCAACAAAATTGGCCAAGTTTGAGCCAATATTATTTTTCAGTGGCCAAATTTGAGCCGGCCAAGTTTGAGCCCATATCGTCATATATGATACTTGGCCAAGTCTGAGCCAATGCTATCATTTGCATATGATACTCGGCCAAGTTTGAGTCGAATTTTATATTTATCTATAATTTAACCAAGCTTGAGCAAAATTTATGCTTCGTTCATAATACGGCCAATTTTGAGTCGATCTTATTTTATTAATATATTGGATAAATTGGCCAAGTATGAGCCAATTTTACTACTTCAAGCATAAGACATTTGACTTAATCTCAATTCACAGCATGGCCAAGTTTGAGCCTACTTCATCTTTCAAACCAGTGTCAATTTCCTCTTTGTTTTTACTTTAGCTAAGTTTGAAGTCAAACCGTATTCACGACAAATATTAGAGCTTTCATCTTACTTGACATTCACGAGTCAAATTTAAGCATAACAATGTAAATAACTTAACATCCAAAACATCATAACATCGTCAAAAATTACATATTTAGCCTATGAAGGCAGGAGAAAGCAGTAGTAAACATAAATCCTAAATGCAAAATACGCTAGTGATCATCAAATTAGCAAAGCTACTCATTATTCTCCTCGCCGCTTACATCATCAGGGATGTCATCTTCATTAACAAGTTTCCCTTTGAAAACATCCTTGGTGATGTGAACTTCTCCCAAGTCGACATTTGGGGCAATAACTTGTACTTGTCTTAGTGCTTTCGCAAAACCCCTTTTGTGCTCCACAACCACTTGGTATTCGGTAGCCTCCATCTCACCCTTCATCTTTTTGTTATCATTATCTAGTTCCCCAATCTTTTTCACATTAATAGCAATGACTTATTGGCAAGCCTTGTTTTTCTTGTACAGCTCTACCATCTTGCCCTTCAAGTTTTGAATATTCCCCTCATAGTCCTTTGTTTTCTTTTCCAACATCCTCACGTTCTCTGCTTGAGCTTCTTTTTCTTTTTCCAACAGATTCACCTTCTTCAAAAGATCCTCAACTTTTGCTGCATAAGATTTATTTGATCTCACCGAAATTTCAAAAGCCTTGGACTTTTCCTCCAATTTTCTCTTCAAATCGCCAACCTCATTAACCAATGACCCAACCTGCGCATTTTCAGTTCTCAGTTTGGACATCAATGTAGCATTCTTCTCCCACTTTTTCTTCCAATGATCCACCACAGCGATGGATCTTTGTAGAAACACTTGCACTGAGTCCAAACCTTGAACAACTCCAACCTTTTCAATTAATGCTTTATCAGCAATATAGGCTGGATCCTCCTTGTAGAATGATTCTGCAGTCAACTCGGCATTCCAAAAG